TTTTTTTTTTTTTTGTACAAAAAGAGGAATCCAATCCTAATTACCACGATACCAACACGTTTGAGGTATAGCACCCCCACCACATCATGAGCAAGCCAAGTACTCGCACCCGATGGAAGAACATGAGAATATTATGCATGAGGATATGACGAATGTCTTAGGCATGATATTATGCCCGCTCCATGAATTATTCCGCATTTTGGATGTATTGAATTTGAAAAATGCTACAAGTATATAGTAAATGTATATAGAGGGGTACATAACACTTATATGGAGTGGGGTCCACTTGATTTTTATTTTGAGAAATGCTATAGGTACATAATATTGTACAGAAAATGCTACAAGTACATGATCAATGTGCATAGAGGTGCACATAATACTCACATGCTATAAGTACATAATATTGTAAATAATGGTGTACATAACACGATTTTTTTTACCAGAAAATAATAAAAAAAATTAAAGTTTTGGACAAAAAATACACAAACAAAGAAGAGTGGAACAAAATCAAAAGCATGTATTTAGTGAATACGTTTTTTATTATAAAACGTATTTTAAAAATACATTTTCCTTTGTAAAAAAAATTGTAAAACGTATTCACTAAATACGTTTTACAGTTGAATTTGTACTGAAAACGTATTTATTGAATACGTGCTTTCTATTTTGTTTCACTCTCCCTTTTTTCCTTTTTTTTTTTTGTTCACTTGATTTATTATTATTTTTTATATATAAATTACCCGTACAGAACACTCATATTGAGTGGGACCCACCAAAAATAAAAATCAAGTGTACCTTACTCATGGAGTGTTATGTACACCTCTATATATATATTTATTATGTACTTGTAGTATTTTCCTTATTTTTTGTAGGACCTACTCAATGTGAGTGTTATGTACACCTTTACAATATTTCGTACATATAGCATTGAATTTATATCACGAATTTATATTATGTAACTACAAACTCTACACATGCAGATAATATGTAGTTCTTAATATTCCAAACAAATGAAGTAGCATAGGCAAATCGACTCAATTAAGACCAATTACAACTTACAAGACTATCTAGAGAACAGAAAATACGCATCACAAGATACAACACCTATTGAACTTGTGATTCAGCTTGTGTTTTTCAACCACAACCAGTGAACCCGGATACCCTAGAAAACCGGGCAGCCCTCGACCACCACCCCGGCTGCCGTAGGGCAGTTGGCCAGCGGGCAGTGATCGTCCACTTGCAGGCCCCACCACTCCGGGCCGAAGATATCATTGGACTGCAGCGTGAAGAACAACAGCAGTCCCAGGAACCCTATCCCGGCATCGAGGCCTGCCGCCAAAACGTAGGCCCTTCTGGCCCACCACCGCTTGTGGAACCTGTACAAGTACACGTTGAAGAAAACCGCAGCCACCCCGAGCATCAGGTAGTTCACAGACCGGACAGGCGGCATGCTGCCGGCAACCGACAGGACGAGTGGCACGTTGACGAGCCTCACCCATTTTTTGTTGGGGTAACGGCGGCCGAGGAGGTAGAAAGGGACGGGGGCTAGCAGACCGAACAGGAACCACCAGTTCATTGAACCGTACACGCCTCGGGACGCAAACACACGGAGGGGCCCAATTACGCCCCATATGATGGACGCGTTGTAGAAGACAGCGTCCCACGGGCAGGTCCATGGGCTGCCCTCGGGCAAAAGGGACGGGTCGCATATGTGGTCGACCGTGGTTAGGAGCCACCAGGCTGTGAAGAAGCACACGGAGGACGCAACTATTGTTCCCACCAACTGCATGCATCATGTGTCAACATAAAATAATAATAATAGTAATAAAAGGAATCGACGTGATTAATTAGTTATGTCGAAATACTCAGGTTACTGAGTATAATTGAAATTTCGGCATACCTGACCGATGAACATGGACTTGGGAGGGATCTTCATGTACAGGCCAAATTTGAAGTCACTGACAAAGTCGAGCGCTTGTGACATGCTTATCAAACCATATGTCTTGAAAGTGACATTCGCGAGAGGTCTCCCCGGGTAAATGTAACCGATAATCAACTCCGTAATCACATTAATCCCGATTTGCTACACAGATTTTTCCATTAATTGGAATTGGAAATTAAGTCAGGAAAATTGTTCAGGCCGCAGAGAGTGTTTGCAAAGCCTGACAATTGCATTGATTTTCAAGAGAAGGAGTTCAGAAAACTCATACCATGTTTGTCGTGGCCTGTATTATGCCGATAGGTAAAGTGAAGGAAAAAGCTATAGCACAGGCCATCACAAGTCCCCACCAGGGGAGTTGGAGCTGTCCATTAAAACCAACAATGTTGAACATCGAAAGGCAAAACACGATGACCAGAAGTACGTGGAACCACCAGTCGGGCACCGTTTCATAGTTCTCTCTCATTATCCTCGTGTGCACGTCCATTTTCCCTTCCAGGTTTTCCTTTGTTTTGCTCCACAGAGACCAAATTGTTCTACATATACAACAAATACAATGCCTCAAATTTTGGCTAATGCTCAAGGCAACTTTAAGAATTATGTTGGAAATTTTCTTTTTACAAGTAAATGGATCACTGTAATTCCCAATAAAAGAGAGAGAGAGAGAGAGAGAGAGAGAGAGAGAGAGAGAGAGAGAGAGAAGAGAGAGAGAGAAGAGAGAGAGAGAGAGAGAGAGAGAGAGAGAGAGAGAGAGAGAGAGAGAGAGAGAGAGAGAGAGAGTACTTACTTTCCATGATAAAGTGTGGCATGAGTAAAGGTAGCTGCCAAGACAGCAAAGCTAATGCCATAGACATAGGCAAATGATATACTAAGGTACAACTTGCTGTAACCTCTATACCCAATCATGTCAAGATCAAAACTGGTCTCGTTGAGAGCACGCGTGACATTGTAGTGGTGCCCGTAGTGGTCGAACGTGCTGCTCGAAAATAACGGGAATTTCTTGGCATCGAAAAAATCGTTGTAATAAGACAACGGCAAGACAATGTACACGAATAGAAAGAAGCCGACGAGCATGTTGGCGATGGCGAAAAACGGGGTAGCTATGGGGCTGCCCGCGAAGGTGATGGTGGACCAGTCCAGGCCGAACAACCCGATTCCCATCCCGTGAAGGCCCGACCCGATTTGCTGGGGGAGTATCTTGTCCTTGTAGATCAAACAGAGGATTGAAATGGAAGAAACGGAAGGGGCTAGATAGGCTGGGACTATGTAGTACGCGAAGCTCGAAACCGTTACCGCTATAAAGAATTGCAGTTGTGATAGTCCTCCCTTGGGTCTCGCTTCTTTTTCATGCAATGCTCTGCAATATCCAGGGGAATACCGAAGGACGAGCTTAGGAATCGAAGCAAAAACTCCTTTTAGAATCGAAACTGGATTTTTCCTCATTTTCGTTACCAAAGTAGCGATATGTATACAAAAAATCTCACCTACCATAGGCATATCATGCCATGTGTAAACAAGCAAACAAAAACAGGAGATAAGAAAACCTGAAGAGGGACACTAAAACCATGCTATCAGGCCACCACATATAGGGAGAGTCCACCAGGATTTTCCTGAATATACCGGCCCATCCATAGCCTAGTGTCAAGATCGAGATCGAGATTGAAGTAGAGAGAGAGAGCATAAACGAGAAAGATGAAGAAAATTTTATTATCAGAGAATAGTAAAAGTGAGTACAAAATAATGAGAGAGACCTATTTATATGGAACAAGAAATGAAACCCTAATGAGGTAAAAGTGCTGAACAATTGTGTAAAGTGTTATTCCTAAGTGTGAAAGGTAAAAGTGCTATTGCTCCTTAATACAAGAAGTGTTACATTTAATCCTATATACATATAATCTATTACCCCCCCCCAAGATGAACATGAATATTTTTCAAGTTCATCTTGGAAGAGAGTTCTGCAAATGCTGGATTTCCAAGAGGCTTTGTGAAGATGTCTGCAACTTGCTCCTTTGAGGGAATGTAAGAGACAGTGATGGTGCCATTTGCAATCTTTTCTCTGATAAGATGACAGTCCAGCTCTATGTGTTTGGTTCTTTCATGGAAAACAGGGTTAGTAGCAATGGATAAAGCAGCTTTACTATCTGAAAAAATACAAACAGGGGCAGAGTGAGAAGCATTTAAATCCTGTAACAAATAGAGCAGCCATTGAACCTCACATGATGTATAAGCTAAAGCTCTATATTCAGCTTCAGCTGAAGATTTGCTTACAGTAGGTTGCTTTTTAGATTTCCAAGAAATTAATGAATTTCCTAAAAATATAGCATACCCTGATACACTTCTTCTAGTATCAACACATCCAGCCCAGTCTGAGTCACTATAAGCAGTAAGAGATAAAGAGGATGATCTAGGATAGAAAATACCTTGTCCCACAGTTTGTTTTAAATACCTGAGAATTCTGTGGGCTGCAGTGAGATGTTGCTGCTTTGGATTTACCAGAAACTGACTGAGACTTTGCACACTATAAGAGATATCAGGCCTTGTGATAGTCAAATATAATAATCTGCCTATTAATCTCCTATATGCAGTTGCATCAACAGATTCATCATTATCATTAAGAGAAGTAAGTTTAATGTTGGCATCCATAGGGGTTGCAGCTGGTTTACTGCCCAGATAACCAGTATCATTTAGAATGTCTAAAGCATATTTCCTTTGACAAATATTTATGCCTGATGATGAATGAGCAATTTCCAACCCTAGAATGTATTTGAGCTGGCCTAAGTCTTTGATAGTAAAACACTTGTCAAGATGAGTTTTGATTTTCTGAATTTCAAATAGATCATTTCCAGCTAAAATAACATCATCAACATAAACTAGTAAAGCAAGAAATGATGTAGAGGACTTCATAATGAAAAGAGAACAGTCAGAGACAGATTGAGAAAAACCATAATCAAGTAAACATTCAGTCAATTTGTGAAACCACTGTCTGGATGCTTGTTTTAAGCCATAGAGGCTTTTGTTTAATTTGCAGACTCTAGTGTCAGTTTTAGAACAGTATCCAGGAGGTGGGGTCATAAAGACTTCTTCATCAAGATCCCCATGCAAAAATGCATTATTTACATCTAGTTGTTCTAAATGCCAATTATTAATAAAGGCTAAAGCAATAAGGACTCTAACAGTTGTTATTTTAGCAACAGGACTGAAGGTGTCAAAATAATCAACCCCTTCTTCCTGAGTATATCCCTTTGCTACCAGCCTAGCCTTATATCTCTCTATAGAACCATCAGCTTTATACTTTACCTTAAAAACCCACTTACAGCCAATTGGCTTCTTACCTGTAGGTAGTTCTGTGAGATGCCAAGTGTTGGTCTTCTCTAAAGCAGAGATTTCCTTGTTCATTGCTTCTTGCCATAAAGGGTTAGTACATGCTTGTTTATATGACTTAGGCTCAGTTTCAGTAGTAATAGCAGATGTAAAACAAGCATGTTTGACAGATAGATTTTTCATAGAAATGAATGATTCTATGGGATATAATTGAGATGTGCTAGAAATGTGTTGAGACTGTGAAGTAGAAAGTAGGTTGGCAGAGGAATGAAGGTTATGTTTGTAAGCTTGGAGATAGGCTGGACTTTTTCTTATTCTTGATGATCTTCTGAGAGTTGAAGTTTGAGGTACTGTTGATGGGTTAGAGGTTTGATTCTGTGTGGGAAAAGGAGCAACAGAATTATGGTGAGGAGGACTGTGATTATAAGGCTCATAGATAGAGGGATTGGGGGAAGATGGAGTGGGAGATGAATGTTGTGGTTCAGAGATGGGATTTTGTGGGGTTAAGGAAGAGTAGTGTTCAAAAGGATGAGGATCAGGGAATAAAGGTGTATGAGAAGTTTCAGTAGATATAGATTTGAAAGGAAAAACAGTCTCATAAAAAACAACATTTCTAGATATTAATGTTTTCTTGGTATCTAGATCATAAAGCTTGTATCCTTTATGACCCATTGGATATCCAAGAAATATGCATTTAGATGCTCTAGGGGCAAATTTATGTCTGTGGGACTGAATAGTAGAAGCATAACAGAGGCACCCAATTGTTTTCAAATGATCAAAAGTAGCAGGTTTGTTATAAAGAACTTCATAAGGAGATTTGTTATGCAAAACTGGGGTAGGAATCCTGTTGATGACATGAACAGCAGCTAATATGCAGTCTATCCAGAAATGTAAAGGCAATTGTGCATGAAATAAAAAAGCTCTAGCCACTTGTAAAATATGTTGATGCTTTCTTTCAACCCTTGCATTTTGTTGTGGAGTTTCCACACAACTCTTCTGATGAATGATACCTTTTTCTTTAAAGAAATCATGCATTAAAAACTCTGTACCATTATCAGATCTAAGTGTTTTAATTGATTTTTGAAATTGATTTTGAACTAAGGCATGAAAATGTTTGATGCTAGAACTTGTATCAGATTTATGTAACAGAGGATACAGCCATGTAGTTCTAGAGAAATCATCTACAATGGTTAGAAAATACCTGTGGCCAGCATAGGAAGGAACAGAGAATGGCCCCCAAATGTCACAGTGAATTAACTCAAAGGAAGATTGTGCAATAGAAGTACTTAATTGAAATGGTAATCTTTTCTGTCTTGAAAAGTGACAGACATCACAAGGAGTTTTAGAGTGTACTGAACCAGAAATAGCAATGTCAAGATGCAACAGTTTATGAAATGATAAGTGTCCCAGTCTAGAGTGCCATATTTCAGAGGTTACAGGGTTATTACATGTAGATGCAGTATGTGTTACAAGGTTATTACATGTAGATGTAGCATGTGTTACAAGGTTTTGAGATGATAGAGAAGAGTTTGGGTCAAAGTGGTATAGACCATCTTTGGCTTTAGCAGAACCAATCATCTTGTGGGATGTTAAGTCCTGTATTATGCAATGAGAGGCAAAGAACTTAATGACACAGTTATTAGTGGATGTTAATTTGGATATGGAAACCAGGTTAAATTTGAAGAGTGGGACATACAGTGCCCTTTTGAGAACAATAGATGGGGATATAACAATGTCACCAACATGAGATGCTAATGTGCTTTGTCCATTTGGTAAGTTAACATGAGTAGATATAGGATGCACATTAGATGTAAACAAAGAAATGTCACATATCATATGATCTGAGGCTCCCGTGTCTAAAATCCATGTGTATGCATCATGATTTGAGGAAGCAGAACATGATATAGAATGAGGTATACCTGTTGCAGAGCTGGGTTGAGTGACACATGCATTTGCTACAGCAGGAGTTTGATGAACCTCAGAGGGTGAGACATGAGTTTTCTCATAAGACTTTTTAAAGGCTAAGAATTCATGAAAGAGATTATCAGTCATGGAAGAATCATGAATATTTGAAGCATTGGTTTGAGAAGTAACCACAGAGTTGGCAGAGTGCTTGGGATGAATTCTGGGACCACGAGGTCCTTCCCAGTTTGGAGGATATCCAACCAATTGATAGCATTTGTCACTTGTGTGACCTAGGTAACCACAATGGGAGCATTTGGGACGAGGTTTGGTTTGATCTTTGGAAGCAGTAGTGGGGTGGTCAGAGGTTTTGAAGTTTGGCTTATAATTGTGTTTTGGAGGGAAGTGAGATTTGGCAGCCATAGCCATTGAGTCAAGTGGTTTAGATGTGGATTGCAAGGCTCTTTGGCTTTCTTCTTGGAGCAGAAGGGAATAGACTTTGTTTAATGTTGGTAATGGAGTGGATAAAAGGAAGTGAGACCTCAATGCAGAGTAAGACTCATTTAAACCAATTAGAAATTTTATGACAGAGTCTGACTGTTGAGAAAGAGACATAGATTCAAATATTTGACAGGTGCAGGAAGAAAGAGCACCACAGGAACATCGAATAAGAGGTCTGTAAGACAAGTACTCATCCCAAAGGGTTTTGAAAGAATTGTAGTACTGAGTAATAGTCATTGAGCCTTGATCCATAGTACTCAAAGATTTTTCAATTTGGAAAACACGAGGACCACTGCTCAATGCATATCTAGCTCTTAGTTCGTCCCATACATCTTTAGCATTGGTAAAGAAAAGAAGAGATTGTCTGATATCTTTGGAAATTGAGTTAAGTAACCAAGATAAGACAAGATTGTTCGCACGAGTCCAGGCCAGAAACTCAGAGCTACTACCAGTAGGAGAGGGTATAGAGACAGTACCATCAAGTAGCCCTAACTTGTTTTTGACGCTCAGAGCCATGGACACTGCACGGGACCAGGAAACATAATTGCTGCCATCAAACACCTCAGCCACTATGAGAGCTCCAGGATTATCGCTCGGGTGTAGGAAATAGGCCGAAGATGGATCATCAGATAGTTGAACAGCCATAAGATCTGCAAAAAAAATATCAAGTAAACAGGATCTATAGGACAACGACACAGATTGAAACCGAAATCGTACAAAGAACAGAAGTGTCTGTACAGATCGAGATTAAAATTGTGTCAATCGTCAAAAATATGAACAGATCGAGGAGAAAAATCGCGATTCAAGTCAAACCAAACTAAATCGAGTAGAATCTGTTAAGATTTGAACAGATTGAAACCGATAAAGCGTGATTATCAATAAATCGATGTAAAATCAGAAGAATCAGAGAAAATAATAGGGTTTGATCTGGATATCGATCAAACTATCGCAAGAGATCGTGATGAAATCGGATGAGAAATGCAGCGGAAAATAAAGCAAAATCGGATCGGCGATCAGCCGGCGACTGATACCATGTCAAGATCGAGATCGAGATTGAAGTAGAGAGAGAGCATAAACGAGAAAGATGAAGAAAATTTTATTATCAGAGAATAGTAAAAGTGAGTACAAAATAATGAGAGAGACCTATTTATATGGAACAAGAAATGAAACCCTAATGAGGTAAAAGTGCTGAACAATTGTGTAAAGTGTTATTCCTAAGTGTGAAAGGTAAAAGTGCTATTGCTCCTTAATACAAGAAGTGTTACATTTAATCCTATATACATATAATCTATTACCTAGCAACTGCCAAATAAAATAAATGTAAACAGAAAAAAGAAAGGATAAAGGGAAAGCAGATTATGAACATCTTACACTATACATATGAAATTGACCTGTGTGGTTTGTGCCAACAGCCAGGCGGCCCCCATATTCATATTCCGGTGATAAAACGCCTTGACGATGTTGACAATCCCGACGGCATACACACCAGAGGCCCCCGTCCCCGCAAACAGGAGGATCAAGACGTGCTCCTTGACATTAAACGGGCCGGGGTTGAGAGTGAAGGACCAGCCCGTCAACGGCACGCGGAAAGTCGTGGTGGGCAGGACTCGTTCCATGAACCTCCCAATCGGGAGGGCCACGATCTGCACGGTCAATGCAGACAGGCCTATCGGGTTCTGGCGGTAGGCGAAGAACTGGTTCACGGCCGCCAGCAGGACGCACGATGTGAGCCCTAGTAACCACGTCCGGAAAGTTAGCACCGGCAGGGTCGGGTCGTCTGTTGGCGGCACAGTCAGCCGCACCTCCTCGATCGGATGATACTTCTCCTCATCCTCCTCCTCCTCCTTCCCTGCATCTACATTTTTTACATTAGTGGTATTTATTTATTTATTTTTTCATGCAAAATATGAAAATTTTAAATAAATCATTAGTTATGTATTACTACCCTCTATTTCAATGCTTGATTGAGTAACATTTTTGTCATATGACTTCTCTACTTCACTATTTGCGCTGCCCATTTTTTTCTCTCAATCTCTCTTATTATTATTATTATTATTATTATTATTATTATTATTATTATTATTATTATTATTATTATTATTTTTTATTATTATTATTATTATTATTTTGTATATGTAACACGAATGGGCAATTAAGTGCTTAAATAATGGCAAATTAATTTGCACCGTGTTTGGTTTTTTGTCCGTATGTTAATGCAAAGTCTCCATGAATTCGCTTTTTCGCCGGAATTCAATGTGATTATAACCTGACTAAGGATTAGGCTGTGACTAATTGTCCTGAGATATTCCTTCATTTTCTTCCTCGGTGAGATTTGGTTAGATATGGATTATTATCATATCTTGTCCTTTTTCTTCTTCATATTTATATTATTAATTATTATATAAAGCTACTCTCAAATTTTCATTTTGCAAGCCTTGTGTAGATTGTACATAAGACAATCAATGGTCAAAAGACAAACCGCTCGAAGACTCCTTATCAAGCATGAATTATGGGGAAAGGGTAGTCTCATCACTATGAAGTGGGTTGAATTATCCAAAAATGATTTTACATCATGTCCAATCAATATCGTTTACTTCAAGAGAAAATTTTACAAATGTTATACTAATTTCACCAACTTAAACAAGTGGTGGGTTACATTAGCCTATCATTAGATCAATTATCTTAGTATTTTAATAAAGGGAAATAAAAAAAAAAAAATTGTCTCGTCTCATCTAAACTATGACAGTTTTGGCGCATCACCATATAAAATTTTATTTTATATTTTTTTTACAAACTATCATCTAAACTATATGGGTTTGTCAAATAGGTCGAGCAGTCGAGGTCAAACGGGTCGAGCGGCTCCTCCCCGACGAGGTCTGCTTCGGAACCTACCACGAGCTCGACGTGCAGAATGAAGCACACCTTCATGTGCGTGAAACTCTCGTCGGACACATCGGTTGTCGCTAGGCGACGATGGAAGCCGCCGACACCTCTAGTGGCATAGCCGAGCATGTCTCTGACGACCATGAAGAAGGCGAATAGTCCGCTCCCCATCGTAGACGAATGCTCCGTTGAGCATAGATAAAGATGGATGAATGCATATTTTCGAACCATGTACGTGTCGATGGCCGCACTAAGACAACGACGCTCTCTGCCGTCGATCTACTGCGTGGGGCGAGCGGCAGCTGCACCTTGAGAGCGACGGTCTGCTTCATTTTTATATTTTTATTTCTGAAACCAGTTTCTTCATTTTTTTCATTTTTCTTTTTTCTATTTCTTTGAAATATATATAAAATTAATGAAATGCCCTAAAAATTAACTTTTCTTTATAGTCATAACTACTTTTATATCTAGCTTAGCGGGCAATTTGTCAAACCCATATAGTTCAGGTGGTAGTATGTAAAAAAAAATAAAAAATTTATATGGTGATGCACAAAAATCATCGTAGTTCGGATGACAAAAAGTTTATTTTTTCCCTCTTAATTATATATTGTGCAAATTACGATGTGATAGGATTATATATTTTTTTATTATATTTTTATTACTAACTAATGAAATAAATATTAATAAAAATTTCATACTCACTATATGGCCAAAACACCCGCTGGTTCGCGAGTTTGCAGGGTCTGGCACTCGCGCAACCGCTGGGTGGGCTGCTGGCAGGCGACCTAGGTCGCTGGTCGACAGGTCTCGCGGGCAAGGCGCAGGTTTTGGCAACGAATGTGATACGAGCACATTTTTTTCAGCCAATCTTGACTTTTTGGCGAGTTATGCATAGTTTTCGGAGGAAAAACTCATGGTGGCCGATGAAATATGCTCCGAGAGTGAGACATGCGAGAGAGTTATGGTGGCCTTGCGGCGTCCCCGGTATGGGGAGATAGATCTCGGCAACAGCAGAAATAAAAAACGATTTCGATCCTCGGCCAACCATGAGTATTTGGCGGGTTATGGGTATAGTTTCTTGAGGAAAATATCCTGGTGCACGAGAAAATATGCACCGATAATGCAATACGCAACAGAGGTGCACACGAGCTGCGGGGCGCGCACAGGCTAACACATGTTTGGGCACGAGACCTAGGTCTTCTCGACAATGGCACGTGGTTATTCGGTTTTGGGTGTTCGACCCTAGTGGTAGGTCACTCGATTTTCGACCTCAATGGTCATTCAGCTTTCGGTGTTCGACCCCAGTGGCGGGTCACTCGGTTTTTTATCTCAGTGGTCATTCGGTGCTCGATCTTAGTGTTATGTCATTCGATTATCGACCTTAGTGGCAGATATTTCGGTGTTCGACCTCAGAAGTAGGTCTTTCGATTTTATACCTCAGTTTTTATTTGGTGTCCATTTGGGTCTCGGTGATCATTTGGAGGTTTGATGACCATGGTGATCGAGGATTTATTCAAATTATAACCTCAGTGGCATGTTGATGGAAACAACCCGAAGAGGCATTTCACTCTTGGATCGAGTCATGCTTACTCAACCAGAGTGGGGGGACTAGATGATATAGGATATTATATTAGATCGGTTTTAATGATAAAAGGGGCTAAGGTATCTCATAACTTTACTCTCTCCACTTTAGTTATTATACTTTTAAGATTTAGAGTTTTGGAGTGATATTGACTTGAGCATCTGAGGTCCGATGCTGGAACCCCTCTCGACGTTGGGTTCTTGCATGTACGGAGGTCGTTCGAGTTGAAGGAGCCCGGATGAAGTCAATTTTCCCCAACAGTACCCCTTTGACTCATGTGTTCCAGGGGATAGGTCCAGGCTTTCTGGTTCTTTATGTCAGTTGACATCGTATTTGTACTATTTTTGAGTTTTTCAGTTATTAATATAATTGTCGTTTAAAAAAAATAAAAAATAAAAATAAAATAAAATAAAATAAAGTGGAGGAGAAAACATAATTCTCAATTTTTGAATGAAAAATCCAACATTAATAGTTCACCAATCTTTCAGCAAAGCTCGCTAGGCCTCCCTAATCAACGGTTAGGTGCAAACATGGCTAAAATTACGGTGGAATTTAATTTACTATTCTAATAAAGCTAACTACTATGTGTCTCGTGCAGTGCACAGATAAGAGATATTCATTAATATTTATTAATTAAAAATTCTTATTAAGTAATATTTATAAATTAAAAATATGAAATCAATATCTAATACAATTACCTATACTAATTTATTGAAAATGTTATATAAAGTTTAAATTGTACAAAATTATATAAAAAATTTCTATTTAAAATTAGTACACAACCCGTGTGGTGCACATAACTGATAATAAATTACATTTGTTTCAAAATTAATACCAATTCAAAATATTTATTCAAAAGTTCGATTTGACTATAACGTGATTCCATATAAAAATAGTTATGTTGGTACAATGTTATTATATATTTAACAATTTATGTGAACAATAAGTATAAATATAAACCTTTTATTGTTTCATTACTTAAAAGTTTATTTTTGTATAAATTATCAAATAAAATTAAGTAGTTGAGTAATTTATTAAACTATAAATAATTGACTATTTTGTTTACTTTCAAGCTCATATTGACCCGTAAGTTATTGAGCAATTTATTAATTTATAAATAATTTACTATTTTATTTACGTCCAAGTTAATATTGACCCATAAGTTATTGAGTAATTTATTAAACTATAAATAATTGACTATTTCGTTTACGTTCAAGATAATATTGACCCATAAGTTATGAATAACTACTTTTTATTTTAGATAAATTTTTTTTCGATATACTATATACCAAATTTAAACCATGCAAGCTGCAAGTTTTGTCAATATATTACATTCCAACTTTTAATCATGCAACTAAAAAGGTTTAGGGGGGATTTTTTAAATTTTGGCAAAAAATATTACACAATATAGTAAATACCTTAGGGGGGAAACCAAATGTTTTTTTTTGTTAGATTTTTAGTTGTTATTTCAATTACATATCATTGTTTGTTTATATATTAATAGATTAAACAAACAAACAATTAATAGTGATCCTCGTTAGCTTCATGATACACCAATTGAATGCTAAAAGAACCTAGGAGTTTTTTCAATAGAAAACTTGAAAGATGGGTAAATTATCAAATCGGGGCATGAAAGATTTTTTCTTCTCAATTGGGGACCTAAATATTACAAAAGTATCAAATTAAGTCCTATAATTAACAAAACTCATAACACCATTAAATTGAGAGTTTAAAAAGAAAAAATAAAAAGAAAAGATTGGTGCTTACTCACATAAAATAATAAGTAATTATTGGAATCATATTTCCCAGATAAAAAAAAGAAATAGATGATAACAAGAAAACCGAGCAAGAGTTTCCTACTTTCCTTAATTTTCTTCAACAATCTCGTATTTTTCTTAATTTTCTTAATTTTTCCTTTTTTTTTTTACTTTTAAGAGATTTGGTGTTTTAAAACTCCAAATTAACTTTCAATTTAATGGTGTTACTAGTACAACGCCCGTGTACTACACGAGTGCTTGCTAATTTTTTCCTTAAAATCTAAAATTAATGAGAGAAAGTAGTTAAAAATTTAAATACCTTTTATAAATATATATATATTATTATATATTTAGTACGACACTTTTTATTTGTGCGACTTACATGTGTTATATTATAATAATTTTTTAACTTACAACATATAACTACATTAAACATAATATATGAATTGAGAAATAATTTTATTTTCCTAATGAATTTTAATAAATATTATTATTTTTTATTATTATAACGATAAATATAATTTATTTATTTCATATATACAATATGGATGTCAAATCGAAGATCATCAAAAGATGATTAATTTGATAAATTATATATGCAAAACCGATAAGAAATACAAAAGTTAT